GAAAATGAGAAAGGAATTTTGTAGAATACTTTCTTCACAAGTTTAAAAAATCAAACTATGCAATGAGTTTGTAGTTTAACGTGAAAATCTTCAAATTTATTATTTTTCATGTTGTACTCTGTTGTAAATAAATGGCTCAACAGAGTGCACACTAGGTATATAAAAAGAAAGAGAAATAAGGAACACTTGAGAATATAATAATACTTAAGAGTGGGAAAAAAGTTTAAAGAATGTATTACTTCAAAGGCCTTTGTTTTTTAAATGAAGGTTAAGTTAGGTAATTTTGTAAAAAATTTATTGTAAATAAATTGTTTAACAGAATGCATAAAACGTATATCAAAAGGGACCAAATAAAAAACACTTGGGACTATAATAACGTTGAAAAGTGGAGAAAAAGTTTAGAGAATGTGCTTCAAAGGCTTTTTTCTTTACATGGAGGCATTTTACAAGAATAATGTTCTGCTTTCTTTGCAACTGATTAAAAGTTTCACATTTTCTACCATCAATGGCTCTTGAGTTGCTTTAAGTGTGAAACGTGTTATTGCGTCAACGTCCAGCAAAGTGTTAAAAAGTGCTGAAACTCTGACAATAAAAAAGCAGCGGTACAGTGTTATTATTTCCAGAAACTTTGGAATAAAAGGGTAAATGTAGCAGTTACGCAGAGAAGCATTATCCCAGTATAATTTGAACATTTCTGTAGCAAGAATAATATTACATACAGTGCTGTCCAAAAAAATTTACACCATTACCCTACTGCAGTTTGCTGTTATTGCTAAATTTTGTATACAGTGCAGAAAGGATTCTGTGCTCAACATTATTTTTCACTACTGAAATAATCAGAAATTTTAGTTTCCACTACAGAAATAATAATAAATTTTGTATTCCACTACTGAAATAATGATATATTTTATTTTCTACTACAGAAATAATAATAAATTTTATATTCCACTACTGAAATAATAATAAATTTTATGTTCTACTGCAGAAATAATAGTAAATTTTTATTTTTACTACTGA